GCTCATTGTGTCCCGCTACTGAGGTAAGACCCCTCTGAGACCTCTGCCCAGGGATCCGTGACTTACGAGAGTTTCTTTCTGGCTGGTGGGAATAGGCGCCCTTCCGGCTCATCTGTGAGAATCGCCGCTTCCCCTTGGTCCTTTGGGTGGTTCCTCCCTGGTCTGGCATTCCCGCCTGTGCGCATGCTAATTGGAAGTCTGGTGAGTACTTAAGCGGAACGTGCTACGGATCTGGCCCTCTTAGGACGGTGGGAGTTGCAGGGACTCTCTTGCCCTGGGCGATCAAGAGCATTATCCTCGATTGGGACCTGGCCATCCTCTCTCCTGCCTTTCCTGTGAAACGAACATCCCTGGAACTGCAGGGAGGGTGGGGCTGGGCTGGCTCTTCATGCAAAAACTTTGGATGACTACTTAGAAATGTCGAGGGCCTTGTCTCCTTCAGAAATATCATGGTGTAGGCTGCTTTTCTCATGTTTGATGTGAGTGGCTGACGACTGGTTTTTCTCGAATGAATAGACTGTGCTCATACATTAGGAATGTTCAAAAAATGATCAGAACAAAAGCAGACCCCCTGACATCTTTGTGTACCTTCCATTCCCGTTTTGGCCTGTCTGGCTGGGAGCTGCCAGGAGGCGTGGCCAGGTTGTGGTCAGCAGGGCTTCCCCAGCCTGTCCTCCCGGGCAGGCAGAGAGGCCCCTGCTAAGCCAGCCTCCTTCCTCCCAGCGTGCCTGTCCTCTGGAGCTGCGAGTCCTGAGTGCCAAGTGCCGTGGGCCTCTCCTTCTCCAGATCAGCAAGAAGCGCTGCTCAGCCTCCCGAGCAAGACGTGCTGCTGTCCGGTCTTGTCCCCTGTGCTGCCAGTCACGTCCAGATTTGCTTCTCTGAACACCACAGAGTCACCCTCCAGGGTTTTATTTCCTGGCTGTTTGTGCCTCCTATTCCTTCTTTGTGCTGTTTCACCCACGTTGGTGTCACTTTAATTAGCCTCGGAGGGTTTTACTGGAACACTCGCCCCCCTCTCTCCTCGGTGACCGGGCTACCCTTGGCGCCCGCGGTGCCGTCTGCCTGGGCCGCCTGTCTCCTTTTCTGCCTTGATGTCTGCCAGCTATTTTTGCTGAATGCGTTATCTTTGCTTCTTGTTATTTTGCTTCCTCTTTATTTGTTTTTTGGGTTTTTTTTTCGAGTTGGAGTCTCACTCTGTCGCCCAGGCTGGAGAGCGGTGGCACACTCACGGCCATCCCAGCGTCAACCTGCTGGGCTGCAGTGACCCTTCCGCCTCAGTCTTCCAAGCAGCTGGACCTATAGGCACGCCCTACCATGCCCAACTAACTTTTTTATTTTATTGTAGAGACGAGGTCTTGCCAAGGTGCCTGGACTGGCCTCGAACCCGCAGGCTCAGGCAATCCACTCACCTCGGCCTCCCAAATTGCTGGGATGACAGGCTGAGCTGCTGAGCCGGCCTGCTTCCTTCTTTTCTTGTGATGTTCCCGTTCCTTGTTCTCCACGCTTGCTGGCATCGGGCAAAGCTAAGGAGCCCGAGACAAGACGGCCTGGTCTTTCCTCTGTTACAGCCACCTTTGCTCTCCTGACCACTGTACATACTGCCTTTTGCCCTGTGATCTGAATTCCTTTTTTCCATATAATCCTAAATGTCAGAACAGTACATCCCCAGCAGGTGTCTGTCGAATGAAAGAATGGATGGACGAATGGTTGGTTGTTACCGGGTGTGTTGTGGACTCTTGGCTTTCTCTTCAGTTCCTGGGAGCTGGCCTGGCAGGTTCGTCGTCATCTATTAGGAATATTGGTGTGTAGTTTGCCTTACTAAATGCACCCCAAAGGCCACCCATTTCTCACGCTGCAGGGAGTGTTGCACATTTGGGTCCCTAGGTCTGCGATGAGTTTTCCCACCGTGTGTGTTGATGTGTTTTTCAGTGTTTGAGATGCGGACTTTTTGTGCATAAAAGTGCCTATTTATAGGTATTTGAGTATTAAAATGATAATGAGTGAACTTTTGCAAACTCGAAAGATGGCTTTCTTTGGACTTTAAGTTCCCTTTGCAGTTTTTATTTCACTTATAAACCAAGCAATCTTCGTATAATGTAAAATCATCCTCCCACTGATTGGATTAATACAATTTCAGCAGATTAAAGTCTGCTACAGTCAAACTGTTCCTGACGTGATGCAGAGTATTGGTACGGTGGGTCCCCCCGGTGACCCCGAGGTTCAGGTCTAAGCCCTCCCGAATTGCAGAGCCTCTTCCCAGGGGAGGGGCCATTTCGCCATCTCAGGTGGGTGAGGCTGCGGGGTTGGAAGCCTCGGGGCTGTGACGTGGCCACTTATTCACCATGTTCAAGATGGGGGCGTGGGCCCCAGGGCTGCACACTCCTGGCGTGATTCTGCCCACACCACGACATGCTGGGTACTGGTCCATGGGCCCTGTCCCTGGAAGCCAAGCTCCTGTCCCTCTGAGGGACCACCTTGGCAGGCGATGCTTCCTGGCCGTTCTAAGCCCATGTGACACCTTTTCCCAAATCCCTTGTGACATCTCGCATCGTTTGTGGGCAGGGAAGTGTGCACTCCACATAGGCTGCCACAAACTGTCTTCATCACTCGGCTGGGCTCTTCGTTTCTTTCACATTTTCTTGATAATTTGGGGTACAGGTGGAAAAAAAGCCAATTCCGACTGAAAGGAGCAAAAGCTGCACGCTGGCCTCTCCCCTCCCACCTCACTCTCCGTTCTCCCATCCCAGGTCTGGACTCATCTCCCAGTCTTGCTCCCACGGTGGCAGCACCTGGGGCAGGGCCAGGATGACAACGGTTCTGAGGCATCCTGACGATCCCGATGGAGAACACTGATTGGCCGTGCGTGGGGCAGTGCCCTCCCTGGACCAGTCGCTGGGGCCGAGGAAGTGGGGTGGTCTGACTGGACACCCAGGGCCACAGGGCAGAGAGTAGGCAGGCCCTTCGGTTCACGGACTCCACAATCAGGAGGACTTGGGGAGGGCAGGGAGGGGCCACGAACCACAGACTCCACGATCGGGGTGACTTGCGTGGGGCAGGAAGGCCCCCTCAGTCCTCGACTCTGCAATCAGATGGAGGTGGGGACGGGCAGTTCCTGCAGCCTGGGACCCAGACGAACCAAGAGTGGCAGATGTCCCCCACTGTGCAGAGTATGTCCAGACGATTCTGGGAGGTTCATGGACCTCAAGCCCTGGCCGCCCCGCTGCCTGCTGTGGCTGTGTCTGTCCCGGGTGCTGGCTTGTCAGTCCCCTCCTCCCTGGCCGGCCGCGCTTCCTGCACTGCTCAGCTCCAAACCCAACTTCTGCTTCTCCTGGAGCTGCTGACACATGACTGGCCATCCGGGTCACTCGAGGACCCCTGGGTTTGCCTTTCACGTGGCATCTTCCCCAGTTTTTCCAGAATTCTGCTCCCCCTCGTGTGGGTGTGTATTCCCAGGATGGCTCCTGTTTTCCAGCAAGCCAGATTGGGGGTGGGGGGGGCGCAGGGGACATGAACTTCCAGAGAAACTCCTTCAGACACATCTCAGTTCCATGCCTGATCTCACAGTAAGCTGTTTTTCTTTTTTTTTTCTTTTTCTTTTTCTTTTTTTTGAGTTGGAGTCTCACTCTGTCACCCAGACTGGAGTGCAGTGGCCGCTCCCGGCCCCCGCAGCCTTGACCTGCTGGGCTCCGGCGATCCTTCCGACTCAGCCTTCCAAGGAGCTGGAACTACAGGTGCACTACCACACCCGGCTGATTTTTGATTTATTGTAGAGATGAGGTCTCGCCAAGTTGCCCAGGCGGGTCTCGAACCCGCGGGCTCAGGCAATCCACTCACCTCAGCCTCCCAAGGCGCGGGCTGACAGGCTGAGCTGTTTTTCAAAGGAACCCTGTGGGCTTTGGAATACCAAAGGCATTCCCGCTGTGTCTTCCTTGGTCAGAAAATGGAGACTGCTTCCAACTTCCTTCCTCTGGGACAATGAGGATGATGACGGTGACAATTATAAGCGCGACGTGGTTTGTTTCCTGAGCTCTGGCGTTGCGCTGGCTTTTAGGTGTGGTCTCTCTCTTAATCTCGACAGTGTGCTGGGAGGCAGACATCAAACCTGTTTTACACGGAGGGAAACAGGCTCGCATGGTGACAACTGACCCAAAGAAGCACAGCCAGCGAGTGGCCGTCCAGGATCTGAAGCCAGGCGCCGTGCTCTTCACCCTGTGACCAGAGCTCCCACCTCTCCTCCCTCCTTGCTCACACGGGTGCCTCAGGCTCCCTGTAACAGGTGCTCAGTCAACACTTATAGATGAAGTAGTCGTGTTGCCATGCTACTGAACAGCCTAGACTCACGCTCCCACAGGGACGGTCATTGGATTCCTTCACAGTCCCTCTGAGGAAAGGCAGGGGCTATCATTCCTGTTTTATATATATGAGAAAATTCAGCATGGCCGGGCACGGTGGCTCACGCCTAATCCTAGCTACTTGGGAGGTCAAGGCAGGAGGACTGCTTGAGGCCAGGAGTTTTGAGACCAGCCTGGGCAACATAGTGAGACCTTGTCTCTACAAAAGATAAAAAAATTAGCCAGGCATGTTGGCACGTGCCTGGGGTCCCAGCTACTTGGGAGGCTGAGACAGGAGGATCACCTGAGCCCAGGAGGTTGTGATTGTGCCACTGCACTCCACCCGGCAGACCAGATGACATTTCCATTGAAAAAAACTAAAAAATTAAATTAAACCTAGAAAGTGGAACAGCAAGCAGCCTCACCCTCTCTGTGCAGCCTCCAGACCGAGGCCCGCTCTCCTTGGGTCTCACCAGGCCGCTGTACCTGGAGTCAGTAAGGCCACGCCTCCCTCAACCCACAGATTCCTCCCGCGAGGCTGCCCTGGCTCCATCTGCACTCCATCCCGCTGCCCAGGGTCCTCCCCCTTCTTCTTTCTCACTCTTCTTGTGGCACTTACCACGTGTTCGACTGGCACCGCCCTCATAGTTTCTGGCCTCCCTCCACTAGTGTGCGCACCGCCCTTGGCGTGTGGTGGGCGGTGGCTCCTGTCGCCCTGGGCCTCGGCGGGGCAGCCCCGCTAGGTGAGGTCCCTCCGACGCGGCTCTCGATGGACACGTAGCCAACCGCGTGTCTTGGAGGAAGGCCTGGGAGTCTGCAGGCCCAGTCTTGCCCGCGACATGCGAGGTCCTGCCTGGAGGCAGCGGCTGTGGGAGGCAGCTCAGCACGGAGAGTCCCACACCCGTCGCCTAGCCAGAGTGCCACCGCAGATGCCCCCTGCATGGGTGCTCTTCAGTGTGTTCCTTGGTCTGTTTGTAAACCGAGTTCTGTCTGGGAAATGCCTGTTGGAATCCCAGGAAGACCCCACGTCAAACAAAGCACTGTCGCCCTCGGTCAGACTGGCAGTTACATCATTTCTCAGTGGGCCTTTCCCAGCCTTGCCCTTGGCCTTAACGAAGTCCAGTCGGCTCGCTACTCAGCACTGCCACCACGACAGAACGGGCTGGTCTGCAGACAGGCCCGCAAGGAGCCTGGATGTGGCTGGAGCCGCGAGCCAAGGTCCCGGGGCTCTGGCGCATTCATACGGTTGGTTCATTCAATGCATAGGCTTCCAAAAAAAAAAAAAGCACTTCTTCCCAGTGGCCTACTTTAGGTCGATGTTATTTTGATGTAGAAAATCACCAGTGTGTCCCTCCGCACACTTGGCAGCACTTTTAAATAGTTTGGATAGTTTCTCATGAGAACACTCATTTTAATTTTAACTTTAAGAACTTGCTGCAACTCTCCAGGTCAATTGGCAAACAGATGTCGTGGACTTGAAGTCAAGAGTGGGCTCAGCGTGGTGGTTTAGACGCTCTGCCCTCCTGGCCAGGCTCAGCAAACCTCGCCACGGCACAGGCCCTCCGGCCACCTGCGGGTGTAAGGAACACGCCGTGGCAGCAGGGCCACGCATGGGTCAGCGTGTGGGAGTCACATTCAGTGGCAGCACGGCCGCGTGTGTCTGTGTGTGGCCATGGCCTGTGGGGCTTCCTGCCATGGCAGAAAAGGTAGGGACAGCCCAGCACGCAGAGTTCAAGCTTGCTGTCTGGTTCCTGACAGAGTTTACGACTCCTATCCGTGGATACAGGTTTCTGTCACAATGTCTGCAGCTACGGTACTCCTGAGCCAGCCCACTCTTCTGGGCCAGCCTGGGCAACAGTGCAGACATGACATTGTTCCAACGTGGCCATGTGGATTCGTGGCCATGTCGAGTCTGCTACCATTTCTGCATTGTGTTAGCTAATGCTGTTCTGTAAGACAGAACTGGGACGCAGTGTAGACAGCAGAGCACAGTGTAGACAGGGCGCATTGGGGGAAAACACTGCACCTAGTGGGACCCGACGAGGTGAACGGCTGATGGCACGGGGGCCTGACCCGCCCAACCCTCCTGGAGCATGGCACCGCCTGCTGTGGCCCTGACCCACCCGGATTGCCACGGGGCCACGCCAGACAACAGTGGGTGCAAGGAGTTCTCCTAGTGAACACATTGGAATTTTTCCCTCTTATGCTTTATTCTTTTTTTTCCTCCTTTTGAAATAATGTATCTTCATCCCGTGGCTTCTGCAACACATGAAACCCCCTACTCCTTCACAGGATCCTGCGGGCGTGTCCCAGGCTTATCGGGCCTGTCGAAGAAGTTGAAATGACCAGGGGTTCTCAGATCAAAATGGTCAAGTGTCCCAACTAAAATGTCAGTTTGTAAGATGACCCATGTCACTGAAGGTGTGAGCATTGCCAGGCAGCCCCGGGTCTCTGCCACTCTGGGAACGAGGTTGTGCTTGGGCTCCAGTGTCCTGTGACCTGGGAAAGGTCACCTTTGGGCGGTGGCGAGGGGCTGTCCGTCCCCAGGACCCTTCAGGTCAGGAGTGCTGCTGTCTTGGCTCCTGAGGGGTCAGGGGGCCTGGATGGAAGGTCTGTGCACGGGGTGGCCCATCTGCTGAGGAGCTGCCCGGTCCCTGCGCTTGTCCGTACACCGGTTGACCGGGAAGAAGGAAGTGGAAATCACAGCAGGCGTCTCTGCCCGCTTACGGCCGCCTGGCCCAGGAGTCCACAGGCACAAGGCTTCTGCTTCTGTAGCTCGTGACTCAGGCTGGCCTGGGCTCCCTGCAGTCTCCCCGGGGGCCGCGGCTCCGCCCGGCTGGCACGAGCCAAAACCCTGCTGTGCACGCAGAAGCCAGCCCTCCGGCTAAGTCAGGGTCTCTGGATGCCCCAGCCACTTCCTCCTTTCTTATTCCTGGCAGGCTAAAAAGTGAAGAAATACACGTCGGTAAAAAGAAAAACAAATGCTCCCAAGTGGCAAGTTGGCAAAAAGATAAAAAGCGAAGAAATGCCCAGGCAGGATTACGAGCAGCGTGGAGAGCTTTGAATGTTTCTGTTTAAGAAATGCACAATTTTCCCACAGACACTTACACAAGAGCGATGAAACCGTTTTTGCCTTTCAAGAGGTTGACGGCATCGGTGTCTACAGGGTGTGCTCAAGGCCGTGGGCCCCAAGTTCGACAACTCCCAGCCCTGGAGTGAAGGTCACTGCAGCAGAACCCCGCCTGGACCGAGGCCCTCGCTGTCTGAGACTCCGCGGGGCTGGTGGTGGCTGACCGGCTCCCCCAGCCTCCCTCCTCCTGGCCAGAGAATCACGTGTGATCCTGCTGGCATGCGGAACGGAGGAGGCCGTGAGGGCAGTGGGACCTCCGGGTGTTCCTTCGCAGATTTCCAAGCGCCTGCTGTGTGCAGAGAAGGATACGCAGGGGTCACTCACCTTTGGGCGGGGACCCGGCAGTGTTGCTCCCGCTGACTCTCAGAGCTTCTCTGAGCCTCGTTTTCTCATCAACGACCTCTTGGCGAGGCGCCTCACCCGTGATCAGGGGGACTAAATCACGCCCGCGTATGGAGTCGCCAGAACAGCGCCAGCGTGCACAGGGCACGTGATGCATGGCAGTGCCTGCACTCCTGCCCTGGAAAGGGCTTCCAGCTCCCCGCCTGCGTGTCCTCCCCTACCTCCCCACCACCCCGCAAGCCGGGCTCCTGGAAACTGCTGCCTCCGGCTGGAGATGAAACAAGCATCCACCATGTCCAGGAGGCACTTGGAGGCTCACTCGATGAGCAGTGCCGGGCAGCAGCACTTCAGGGCCCTGCCAACACGGTCATGGACCAGCCAGGCGTGGTCCTGCTCTCGCGTGAGAAAGGCCTAGAGAGGGAGACACGCGTGTCATGGAAGGTGGGGAGCGCCAGGAGAGGGAACCGGGGCTGCGGCAGCCCTGGAGGCGGAGGGAAAAGCCGATGGCCCGACACTCCGGCTGCTGCTGCCTCCTCTGCTCGGACGGCTGCCGGGTTCCAGCCACACCCTGGCATCTCCAGGGGAGACGGCCGAAGGCGGGATGACTCGCTCTGCATGCAGGAGTCCCGCAAGGCCCGGGGAAGGGGATGTGAGGAGACGCCATCGCCTGCTCTCACCCCGTGTGACCGCCTGACAGAGGTCCCTCGAGGGGCCTGACTCGGCCACATGGGACGGTCCGAGCAACACACTTTGTCCAGCCTGGCCGGAGGGGACATCAGAGAGCTCTGAAGGGCACAGGGGCCTGGCCGAGTGTGCAGGAGGCCACGGGGAGAGGAGTTGGGCAGCCACTGGGCTGAGGGAGGCCTGGCCACCAGCCGAGG